CTGCGGCCGGGTGCGCAGCGGTGGCTCCGTGAGCGCTGCGCTGAGCACGGCCGGCGCGCTGGGGTGCGTGCTCGCCCGCCGGGCTCCTCTCCAGCGCCCCGCAACCTGCCTTTCCCCGCCCGGGTTCCAGATCAAATCCCAACAGAGCGAAGTAACCAGAATCCTCGATGGGAAGAACATCAAGTACGAGCTGGTGGACATCTCCCAGGACAACGCTCTCCGGGAGGAGATGAGGGCGAAGGCAGGCAACCCCAAAGCCATCCCACCCCAGATCGTCAACGGAGACCACTACTGCGGGGTAAGGCTTGCGCTCCGCGCGGGGGATAGGTACCACAGGGCTGGGTGGCGGGCGATAATCCCGTCCCCTTGTTTCTGCTACAAACGGCATCAAAACACCTTTCAAAAAGTGTTTCTCGTGAGGCGCACGGACAGGGCGCTGCCAGGGTTAACGGGCATTTGGAGCACGGTGGCTTGTGACAAGTGGGACTCGGGCAGGGGGGCTGTGGGTGGCGGCGGGCAGCGGGGCTGTGCCCTCTCATCCTCCGCGGGACTGCCACCCGTGCTGTCACCCAGTCGGCGCCGCGTGCTCAGGGACCCCGCGCCGCCTGAGCGGCGGGAGCGTGCAGCTCGCTCTTGCCTCGTGAGCGACCGTGTGGCTTTTCCTGCAGGATTACGAGCTCTTTGTGGAAGCGGTGGAGCAAAACACCCTGCAGGAGTTCCTGAAGCTGGCCTGAGCCCGGGCTCCCCTCCCGTCCTGGACTCTACCTGCATTCCTGAGCACCCTCATCTCCGACCACCTTCACTTCCAGGTTGTCAGCGCTGTCCTGGCACCGCGACCTGTATCCCAGCGTAGGGAAACCCATGACCAAAACTACTCATTGCAGCTGCCTACGATTCCCTCCTGCCTAACCCCGATATCATCTCAGAGGGATCCAAAGAAAGTCTGACGCTCGCTGCGCATGGCCTTTGAGCGAAGCTGGGCCTGGCTCGCACCGCAGCTTCCAGTGCCTCCGTACACAGCAAAGCCTCTGGGGCTGTGCGAAGTGCGGCCGGCCATCAGCCCCCTCCTCTGCAGGGAGAGCTCCTGCTTCAGGAGGGGAGGGCTTAGGGTTGCGCGTTACTTCCCACTTCTCCCAGCTGCTGTTAAAATTGTAAATCCTGCTGCCTCACTTCCTTCTCTTTTTTTTTTTTCCTTCATCTCAACTGCAGAGATTATGGCAACTAAGTCGATTTCTTTGTTTTGTTTTAATGCAAATATACTGCACAAAGCTGGGGTCTGAGCCGCCGCTGCGGAGGAGGCCGGGGCGGGGGGCGAAGGCCGGCGTCGCTCGGCAGGCTGCCCAGGGGATGGATGGGCCTGGAAGCGGGGCCGGCGCCGCCGTGCCAGGGCCCTCTCCTGAGCGTTAACGGCTCAGGGCTGCTCCGGAACAGCTGATGCTCCGGCTGTCTTATCTTTCCTCTTTTGAGTTGGCTTTTTTGCAACCCGGACCAAGTGCGTTTTGTTTTCCTGCCAAAAAGCAAATTTATAACCAGTGTTGTCTTCCGAGATGCTATTAAATGTTACTGTACCTTTCACGTCGGTACTCGTGGCTTTCTTTTAAATTTCGTTTTATTTTGACTACAGGTTAAACATCACCCTGCCTAACGATTCTAAGTCATTTCTAGCGCAGAGAAGCTGAGTCAGTTGTACTCGCTGCTGCAGCCTGGCACAAAGCTCTTAACGCCTTAGAGTGCTGCTGCTAATCAGAGGCTCACGGGACTTGTCTGAATCTCCTACGGCGCGGTAGCGGCAGGTGCCTCTCGAGCATTCCTCTCCTCTGCGCGGCGAGAACGGCAGCCCGGGGGAGGGACGGCTTCAGCCGGACACGTGAGCGAAAAGCAAACCCCTGGCGCAAAGGGGGCCTGGCCGGTTATAATAGCCGGGAGACGGGGGCGGTGGAGAAGGCTGCCCCGGAGGAAGGGTCCCCGTACGTTCCTGTGTCTGCTATAGGTGGAAAAAGGAGGACGGTAACTTGGAGCCGTGGGGACTGAGTCACTGGTGCCGGGGAGCCCGTGGACGCGGCTGGTTTGCATGAGTGGTGCTTCCTCTATTTGAGTTGCGCAGGGTCCAGCTCCGGTTGGAGGGGTCCGGGACGTGCTGTGGGCATCCCGCCCCCTTCCACAGCAACCGCGCCTCTGAAGTCTTAACGGAAGCGGAAACTGCAACTTAAATTATTGGGAGCCTTTCACGAGGGCTGGGCGGCAGCGTGCGCGGGGCCCCTGCTAAAAGGGAACCTGCCAGAAGGCGCTGCCTCGGGGGAGCGGGAGTGTCGTCAGCTGGGATCAAGCGGGAGCTTGTCACAGCTGAAACGGGAAGAATCTGCTGGGGAGAGGGGCCTGCAGCGTGCAGCCCGGCCGGCGGGAGAGGGAGGAGGATGCTTTGCTCAGGGTTCA